CATTCCTGCAGTGAAACTGGTCTTTTTTTTTTTGTCTTTTGATATTTGTGAATTTTCTCTGGAGATAGGCCTCATTGCAGATACACTCCAGGATATTTCCCATTAAGGGAAAACCTGTCAGCCTTTGCAGAGCAATAATGAGAAGACAGTAGAGAGCTAAAAGCATGACAGTGGTTTTTTATGAATATGCATTGAGACACTGGTGGATTGAAGCTGAGATTATAACTGGGCTCAGGTCTCAGGTCTAGCCTTCTCTTCTACATTCAGCTTGTCTTTAAAGCACTTCACTGCCAGGTAGGATCTTTCTGGGTTTAAAAAAAAAAAAAAAAAAAAAAAAAAAAAGGGGGGGGGTTTATTAAAACTTGTGCAGGGCCTTAGCTTGGCTTAATTTGGCAGTTTGGATGCTGTCACAGTGGGTACGTTTTCTTTCATGCTTTGAAGGAAGGAGAGGAAATTGGATCCCTTGAACCTGCCTTGTCCCAGTCCTTTTTGCAGAAGTCTTGTGCAGTTCTTTGGCACTGGGTTATTGCACAGTTCTTTGTAAAGAGAGTGTTCTGCAGCCAGTCCAAAGCTCTGGCTGAGTCTCCTTTTCTATGCTCAGTTGAGAGTGTTTCTGATCTCTGAAAACCACTGTTGGAGACTCCATTTTGTGCCAGTATTTTCAGTCGACAGTTCTTGTGAATGGAATAAATCACAAGCTGAAATTTACCTCTCAGAGTTGCAGGTCACCTTCAGTAGTACGTAGCCTGCTGCAGCTCTGCTTCTTCACCACTGGATTAATGTTAGAGTAATGTCCTAGTAACCTTGGAAGAGGCAGCACATTAGCCAGCAAGAGTTCAGTCTTGCAGTCACATGTTGGAAAAGATGAGATCTGTTTGCAAAAATCATGTGGGACGTGTGGCTCTCCTGCTCCATGCTGAACTGAGACAGACCCTGAAGATATGCTAATTATGTCACGTAGAGAAAGCCAGCAGGGAATACTGTTAAAACCAACATTAAAACTGGTGGACCTGATTTTTCACATTAAGCCAGCTAAAAATTGAGCCCTGAAAGGCCTTTTAGGAAAGCTGTGAAGGACTTCTTCCCTGTTGCCCTGCAGGCTTTTCTTTCATTGATGATTATGCAGCAGAAACGTATACTGCTGTCACTTGAGAATGCTCCATTAAACAATTGTCATCATTATACTTCTATCCATGATTTCTATCAGTGCTATTAAATTGACTAAAGTGTAGTCTTTTTATGAAACTATTTAAGGCTAAATTAAAGTTGGCACTCCTTATGTCTCTAGAACTTATAAAACAAACAAAAAAGGATGTTGGATAATGATAAAAGAGAAAGGAATTAATATACAGCTTTAAAGCCAAAAAAAAAAAAAAAAAAAGCTGTTTTTCTTCTTAACTAAAATTGGCAACATATTATTACTTGTTCAGAAAAACAGGAGACTGCAGAAGGTCACTGAAATACAACCTGATAAGTTTTGTTTAAAAATATTTTTTTCTTTAATATGGAGAAATAGTAATTTCCAATCATAAATTATACTTAAAACTGCATGGACTGAAGTAAAAAATTATGTTTTGTTACTGAGCACAAAGCACTGTCCTAGAGTCTGAAATGTATGCCAAGGGCTCTGAGTTAGTGTGCAGCTTGGGGCAAATGATTGAATCTCTTGGAAAGATTCAACTTTCCTCAACCACAAGTTGATGATAAGGATGCTTCTGTAAGATCCTTTGGAATTTCCCCCTCATCCCTTTTTCCAAAGAATGACTAGGTTGCTTGTTCTTACTAAGCAAATGACAGCAGGACTGTGGTTCCCTAGTAAATCAGCCACCTTCTGTTGTGGTTTATTGGTTGCTTTTTCCCCACCAGGCTTTGTATGGCCACACTCAGGCAGTGACCTGCCTTGCTGCATCTGTGACCTACAGCATCTTTGTGAGTGGATCCGATGACAGAACCTGCATCATTTGGGACCTGAACCAACTGACGTACATAAACCAGCTTCCTGCCCACAGGGCAAACCTCTGTTCTGTTGCCATCAACAATTCAACAGTAAGATCTTAATTTATCATTTTTCTTCTGATGTATCCATGAACATTTCATGATAATTTAATGGGTGCTCTTCTCAACATAAAAACATCCTGAGAGTCTGATACATTGATTTTTTTTTTTCCCTTTCTACAGAGATTGCTAATAGTGTTCTTAATGATGAGAGGCGAGCACTAAAAGCAACATCTTAGGCAGAGTAGCTTAGTAGAAGCATCTTTGGATGGGCAGATAGTAGGATTAAACAACTTTTAGTTTACGGAGCATGAAGTATTACCCTAGTAGCTCCTGGATTTGGCTTACCCATAACCTTATTGCCTCCATTATTTCATTAATTTCTCCTGACATTAATGCAGCAGAGCCATGTCAGCTGAGACATATTAGACCTTAGTCTGCCGCCTCCGCTGACAACTTCCTTACACCTTTGTGGTGACAGTGTTGGCTTTTTGCTTTCTCTTCTACTCTCAGGTGTGGCAGGGGCTCTTGATAGTGGTGGGCATAAGTCTGTTCTGGTCTATGCCTGGCTAGAATTGCATTCATGTTGATAGCAAAATACCCTGTATTGGATTTTACTGTAAATGCTCTGGGTAAGATTTTTTTTCCAACCTTCTACCTCTCAAAAATGTTGTTTGTCCATTTGTATTTTCTGTCTCTGAGTAATACTAGAGCGGGATTCCAGCTGCTCAGATAATTCAAGGTTGGATCCAGTACCACAGCTTGTACCAAGAGAGGCAATACTGAGATCATAGCAGTAAGAAACCAGGCAGACATTCTTTACTTAGTCTGTGCAAAAATAGTCATATCAGAGCTTTACTAACCGTGCAGTCAGATGGTTAGTAGTTGGGAGTGGGAGTTTCATAGTCTGTTCAGTGCCAGCACAGCTCCCAGCCCCAGGTGTCCTGGTTAGTGTAAAATGGCCAGTGGCTTCAGCAGGCCAATTCAGAATACCCTGGCAGTCCCTTATGAAGTCAGCTGAAGCAGTGCCAAGCATTCATAAATGAGTGGATGGCCTGACACAGGCTTGAGGCCTCAAGAGGATGGAGTCCTCTCCTTTCTGTGAACCAGCCAACCATTGACAGTAGCCTTTTTAGTTGGTAACTCCTCTTCAGGAGCTGTCCAAACATAAGATATTCTGTGTCAGGAACAGTCTGGTGCCTGTTCCAAGAGCAGTTCTCCAGCTTCTTGGAGTGCAAATGGTTAAACTGATTGGACAATAATCTGCAGAAAGGTTCATTTAAAAGAAGAAAAACCTTAGGAAATAATGACTGAAACTTCAAGGAAAAAAAGATGAAGGGGTCCACATGTTGTGGATGAAAAAATTATTTTTGACATTAGCAGAATAGGATACTTAATTCTGAAATGTGCTTTTAATTAAATCTTCTACATATATTTATGTATTGTAACATGAAGATAGAAACAAAATGTTTCCATTGTGCTAAATTAAATGTTTTGATTGAAGCAAAATTGTTTGTTTGGTAACAAGGTTTTTTTCCTGGAGAACTCATAACGTTTTGAAACAAAGCTTTGAAGGAAACAAATTTCTGGACCACGTTCTTTTCTGTGAAATAGGAACCCTATACAGCTCTTTGTTATGTGATTGTTGGTTTTTATATTTGCTTGAGCATCTAGAAGCTCCATTTATGGATCCAAACTTGAAGGTGTTTGTATCACATAGACAAAAAATAAAAAGGCTGTCTCAAAAAGTTTATACTCTAAGGACGAGTGTAAAAGCCTGCTGTAACTTATCATTTCAGTTAGTTTTAAATCCCTGGTCTAGACCTGAAAAACTGCAGATCATTACCAAATGCTTGGACGTTATGTACTCTTGTGCAGATAAAGTAGCAGAAATTTAATTTCTTTAATCATGGTCAACTCTGTTTTGAATGCTCTGTCCTTGTTTTATCTTCAGAATTCTGCCATGCAGTGTGAAGAGCTCTGGCCCCAAATCAGGCAGGGGTGAAGTACGGTGTTAGTTGATTTAAACCAGATGCGGGTTGCTAATTTAAGGGCACACTGACCTTTGCTAGAATCAGATTACTTTGCTGATGGTCTATTTAGCTGGGTCTTAGTATGCACCAAAGGTGGAAAGGTTAGGTGGAATTCCAGTTAATAACTTGATCAAAACACACTTTTGATAATATCATTTAAAATTGCAGCATTGCCTCTTTGTTCTGTGTGTTTCTTGCCCCTAAGGGAGTGCCTGTGTATTTGCTCCTTACGTGCAGTCTGTGGTTAAGATGCACCTGCCTGGAAGGGATAGGAGAGAAGAGATTCAGTTGCAGAGGATGTTCTCTGCATCAAAAGTGCAGCTCACTGAATGCTGAGCTGGTCATTGGTCAAATGCAAAACACAATCTAAAAATGCGATGGCATTAAGCTCCCTGTGAGGGGCAGAGGAGGATTATGAAATCACCAAAGGCTTTGCAGCTAAGCAGGTGAACACCATGTCTTTATTTAAGAGAATGCTCATTTGTGAAACTTCTGGCCCTGAACCTGTCTGTGCTAGGCGTTGCCTCTGCACAGTCCCTGTCCCTGACAGTAGCTAGGTCAGTCTGTCAGTCTGCTTTTTTTACAAAAAGCCTGGATTTTCTGGTAAATAGAAAGGGAATTTAGATAAATGTTTTCATTTTAAAAACGAAAAACTCCCTTTGCTTCTGAATTATCTTGCTAAATCTGAGACAATCTGAGAGTTGTTTTGGGTTTCTGTAATGTAAAAATGTCAGAATTTTTCATGAGGAAAAAAAAGTCATTTTTACTTTCTCTTGTTTAAATCATCTGCCCAGATGCAAAACAAAAGTCAGAAATTAAGTCAGAGCACCTCTTTAATTAATCAACACTTAAGAGCTGTGAGGAGGATGAGTGTAAGATTTTGAAACACTGCTTCTTGCTTTGTTACAGGGTGATATTATCTCTTGTGCTGGATCTTACCTTTATCTGTGGACAGTGAATGGCCAACTTCTTGCAAGCATTAACACCACCTGCAGCCCCGAAAGCCGTATTGTTTGCTGCTGCTTTGCTGAAGTGATGGACTGGGACACACGCAGCATCATCATCACAGGAAGCACAGATGGAGTGGTGAGGGTAGGTGGATGGGGGAGAGGAAAGGGAATCCTGATTCATTGTAGACCAGAGGCAGACTTTTGCTTCCTAAAGAGAGGGACAGAGCTACTAAAAGCCCATGCCACTTTCTTAACAGGGCAGTGCAGAGCAGAGCAGAAGCTGAAAATCAGAGTAAAACATTTGCTTCTTAGCAACTTTTATCCTCCTGAATGGAGGAGTCTTTGCCATTCAGGAGGAGTTTTGAAAATGTGCTTTTCATTCTGGTGTGGTTTTGAAAGCAAAAATTATATTGCTCATTGGAAATATATTTGAGTCTGGTTTCTGAAAGTTGATTCACAGCTCAGTTTATTAAGTCATACTTTCTCAGGAGCAGGAATTCACTGCTGGTTCTGCCTCCAGTCTGATGGGAGAGCCTCCTGGGTTACTGGGATCCTCATTAGTGTGTCAGCCTCACCACCCCACCAGCTCCCTGCACACATTACTCCAGTGTGATGCCCTGTCGCACAGTAGCAGAGGGAGAGATGATTGCAAAATCCTGTTCTGATGTTAGAAGTCCAGTTTCCACCCCTGCTGGGGAAGCAGGCAGCCACATCTCTCTCTTGTTGCATTGTTATAATCCATGGTTTTTTCCATTTTTACCTCCTTGCTGGCACAGCTGTGGAAGACTGAATACACCAATACCCCAGACCAAGCTGCTGGACTGAGACCGCGGAGAGGCCCGATGGAGGAGCCAGGCAACACAGGTATGACTGCAGTGTGACCGTATGATGCAGACCTTGTTTGGTTGTGAGGACGAAGAGGGGGTGTGAGCGCAGTGGTGTGAAGGGGAGGCGTTGCAGGTGACAGGTGCAGTGTTACTGTAACCAGCGGCAGAAGTAGTGGGTCGCCACTGCCCTACCCCAGAGACAGAGAGAGAGCCCCCCTGAGCCCCCAGTCTCAAGGGCACATCCTGCCTGATTGAAGCTGGAAATGTCACGGTTCAAGCTTGATAGACCATTTTCTGCATAAACCTGTGAAACTAATGAACTATTCTGGCTCCCGAAAGGCCATTCCCTTGGTACCTCTGCTGATGGCCTATGCTAAAGTATCCTGGCACAATGTCAGAGTGGGCAGTGCTAGATCCTGCCCTGGGATGGAACAGGGAAGTTTGTTGTCTTTGCTACCTCAAATGAAGTCAGAGGCCCTTCAAACTGGCGGGAAGCCAGCAGCAGACCATAGAGCATGGAGCTGCTTATTCAAGGGCATGCCAAGCTGAAGCTGACATCCCAGAGTTCTCACAGAGATGTTAATAAGATGATGGGGCTATGGCACATCCTAAATAGCAGAGGTTGCTTGTCTTTGCAGCAAGTTTTATAAGAGAATGGAATTGTGGTGTTAGCATGTATAATTTACACCACTTATTTACTGTGATCCTCATTATAGACATTGTCTATTACTTCAATTTTAGGCACACAGTTTGTATCAATATGGAGCTATAGATGTAAAATCTGCTTAAAAAAAATGTCATACAGTAATTTGGCATTACCATTGAGATCTTCAGAAGTGCTGTTGCTGTAACTTGGCATCTACATTACTTAGATTGCTATGTGAAAATATTTATACATACAGAGGCATATTGGAAATGCCAAACCATATGCCCATCCTACCTTTTGTCATGTTTCTTGAGAGTAGCTAGACCCAGATGCTTCCAGGGAAGGTGCAAGAACAGCAGAGATGCCAGATGCGAAACGGTCTGGCTGTGGTAGATACCTATTTGGTTGCATTGTGGTCTCTAATCAGATTGTTGTAAATCAAAGCAAAAGATTTAAAATTCCTTCCAAAATCTTTGTAGTATTATGTAGTTATTTTGCAGATTCTTTTTACCTGTACAGACATCCCATTTGTTTTAAGAATTTCCTAAATTCTTGCCTGTAACTTCCTGTGGCATTTATTTCCATGTCCTCTTTACTCAGGTACAATTGCATAGGAATGTCTTTGAGCAAACTGAGATTTTAGATATTTTAAAAATTTATATCTTAAACAGTTGTCCAAACTAGGACTTAAAAGCTGCCTATGGGAGCACAGCAGAATACTCCTGTTTGTGCATTTTTAAGAGAGGATCATAAAAGAAAACAATCATTGACCAGACATCTGATGATGTGTAGACACACAAACCTGTTCGCACATGAGCATAAGGATGCATGTCCTCAGATGCAACAGTGTTCTTTATTAAACAGCTGAGAGGTGTAATCAAAGCAGTGACATGCTCCCTTAAACTATTCAGATGACTTCAGAATTATTTTAAATGGCCAAATATTCCCACATCTCATTCTATGCATTAAAGAAAATAAAATTAATACAAAACACAGTCATTCAAAACACCAAAGTAACTATGATTGAGTTATGGGGTTGTTTTGGTTTTTTGGGGGGCGGGGTGTTTGTATGTGTGTGTATGTGAAATGTTCTCAGCATTTAATTATTGGTTCTGTTATGAGTGGTTTTAATACCAGGGCTTTATGTAATTTCTTTTTACTAGGCAATTATAGGCTGTATTATATCCTGGCAGCAAGGTATTGTGGGGCATCTTATTAAGCATAGAGCCAGTGAAAACTGATGAACAATTTTGCTGAACTAGGCATGCAATTTAGAAAGCAATAATACACAAATCCAATTTAGCACACAATTGATACAGCCGCATGTCAGCACATGTAACTATCATAGCCACAAATTAAATTGGGATGGGCCTATTTTGCAACAGCACAGGCTGAGATTAAATATATTTGTTCTCAACTTAACAACTTGCTGACTGTAAATAATAACAATCCCATCCATGCTGCCTCCAGACACTTTCTAAATATTTATTTTTAAACCACGCAACAGGTAACAAGTGTGGAAAACATCTTGTTCTCTGTCGGGAACTGAATCCCAGCCTTGCCTTGACTGGAAAAGCAAGTAGGACCAGCCCAGCAGTGACAGCAGTGGCTGTATCCAGGTACTGTCCCTCCCCTTGCACTGCACCCGGGTTCCGGCAGAGGCCCCCACGCCAGCCCCGGGGCCTCCGCAGCTCTCCTCTACGTCCACAGGTTGCTTTATCTTGTTCTGAAGGTTGTATTACTGCTGGGTTTTTTGTCTTTTGGGCTGTTTGGGGTTTTGTTTTGTTTTTGTTGTTTTTTGGGTTTTTTTGTTCTTAATCTCAGTTGGGTCACTCTGTCTTAGCCAGTGACTCTGGAAGCTGGCCTTGCTAACTGTGTTAAGTGGAGGATGTTGGGATAGTCAGTGGTCAGATAGGAGACAGCCCAGAAGAAATTGCAGCTTTCAGCCAGAAGAGTTGTAGAGATCAGTAGTTGCTACACTGTCTCTGCACTGTAGAAAAACTACTATTCTAGGAGTTGCTGGAGATGCATTGTAAACAGGAAGTTTTTTGGCCAAAGGACAACTTTGTTATTAAACTCTACTCAGTTTGCACAGCTAGCAGTATTTTAGTGTACTCAATCCCCCTCCTGCGGTTTCATCTGGCTATAATATTTGTTGTCATCTCCTGCCCCAGGATGTTACGATGCACTGTAAAAGAGTTGCTGCCTTTCTCTCCAAAAGTGTTGGTGTTTTGATAGTTGCTAAAATTATTCCTATATTCTGCATGCTTAGATTTAGAACACATAGTGAGTGTGGTGTTTATATGATTTGAAAGTGGGACAGTTCGGGGGGAAGGGTTAGCATCATTAGTGTTGGTGGCACTGTATGCAGCAGAGATTTCAGCAGCTGAAGCCATTACATTATGTGTTAACAAACCTGAATTTGGCCAGCAGATTATTTAATGTTCACAGAGTCTCAGAGAAGGGTAGGAGCTTCTGATCTGGCTAGAGTGTCCACAGCTAGCCTACTGAACCCCAGGAAAGTTTGGATACGATTCTAAGTATCCAAACTTTGAAGTATAAATCTTTGCCTACTCTATATAATATTTCTTCAAATTGAACCTTAAAGGTAACGTACTGCCCTGAATGTTGCTTCCTTGTAGTTGCTACACATAAAGGAGAAAGCCTTGATCCTGTCTGCATCTTGTTCTTAAACAGTTTTCTCTTTTCCCTTCTTTCTCAAGAAATTCCTCCAAGCTCCTAGTTGGTGATGACTGGGGAAGAGTCTGCTGCTGGTCTGTGGATGGGTAGGAAGAAATAACCAAGAACTCTTGTTTCTTCAGCCTTTTGGATGGAGAGAAAAATACTTCAGAACATGAAAGAGTCAGAGAAACTGGAAGCCTATGGTTGAGGACCAAATCACAAAGGAGTTGTTGGACTGACCTTGCAGTTAACTGATTAAAATTAGAGACTGGACTGTGAGAGACACACACAAACATGCACATCGGCAATGAGATTTTGCAGTATTTGTCCTGGGAAAACTTTTGTATTTTAAATGGTATTTTAGATACTGAATTTGGCATAACACGTTGTATTTCACAAATAATAGCTAGCAAATAGAACTTCCTTGATTATGGCAAAGAGCAGTGTAGCTTAATAAAATTAACATATTCTAATTTTAATACCATGAGATCAGAAAATACTGAGGCTTCAAACAGATATTGAGTTTGTTCCAGTATCTTTGTTCTTATTAACATACTTGTTCTCTGTTCCTACTCTTCATCTTTCCCTGAATCTGCATGAAAATGTATGCATGCCTTCTGAAAAGCTATTCTGTTTGCAAAGTACCTTTATCCAGCCCCACTGTGAACATGTGTTATCTTTAGTTTCCTAATCTGTGACTTTTTTCTTTTTTTTTACGTAGTGAGCAATGTAAGCAAAATGCGTGGAATGTGTGGGGATGAAAATGTGACACAGCTGGTCAACATATTATTTAATTCTCCTCCTTCACTGCCTTCTTTCCTGGCCTTGTCCTGATGTTCTCTGGAATATCAGCATGTGTCCCTAATGGAGATGGAGAAATTGTGAAAAATCAAGTTCCTTAACATTTTACAAGAATTAGAAGGAGCTAAACTGATAAATCCTTCCCTGCCCCTCCTTGACCTGGTAAAGAAATTGAGTATCTCACCTTACACACAGAAGGGCTGAATAGCCACTTAGGCAGAGAAGCTTCCTCAACACCACAGACTGGGTCATGGCAGAGCCAGAATGAATGCGAAGGATGTTGTGGCCGTGAAGGCCGTTGTGTTCATATCACCAAACACATCCCTGAACAGACGGAGACAAAAGAGTTCCCTGATTTCCACTGCACGGGGACTGGTTAGCACTGCAGGAGTAAAGCCTTGTGTGTGCTGCACTGGATAGCTAGAGATTGAGGAACGTGAGGGACTGCTATATGCCAAAATCTTGGTGCTAGAGACTTGCCAGCATCATTACAAAGAATCTAGAGTAGAAGACACAGAATCACAGAATGTTAGAGATTGGAAGGGACCTTGAAAGGTCATCTAGTCCAATCCCCCTGCCAGAGCAGGAACACCTAGATCAGATCACACAGGAACGCATCCAGGCAGGCTTTGAATGTCTCCAGAGAAGGAGACTCCACAACCTCTCTGGACAGCCTGTTCCAGTGCTTTGTCACCCTCACCGTAAAGACAGGTTTTATCAGTCTTCCTCTAAATACACCATCAGCTTTCTTCTTCCCATAGGGCACTGCTTTGTTCATGGCTCTTTTGAATTAATGTTGCTGAATAAGCAAGACTTCCTATGGCAAACAACTTCCTTACAGAGTGCTGCGACATGTCACCCTGCAGCTTGGTCTAACCTCCACAGTGAGTGAGGTAGTTGCCTGTGGAAGATGTAGTAATTACAGGCTAGCTCATGATGCAGACGTACAAGGAAGGCTGCATTATGTCTGCGCAGATGACCTGAGTGGTTATCCTTTCTAACCTCCAAGTGTGTGACTTGGTGACTCAAATACTATCCGTTCTGTGCTCAATGAAACATACACTGAAAACAGACTAAAACGCAGCAGTGTTTTTCCGATTAAGGTAACCCTACAGAGCAAAGGTGGACCATGCCCATCTTTCCTTTTCCTGAGGACTGGGGAAAGGTCAATTGTCATGGAATTCAACAAAATTAAGTACACTGCTTCTTTCTTCTTTCCTCTCTGCACATTCATTAAGAATAAGCTATGATTTGGATACATGGACAGCAAGACTTGGACTTCCGTCAAGTGTGAATGCAGCTTTACTGAACCATGATAAAGGTGATTAAGACCCATGAGAGAAGCTCACTACCTGTGTTTTCGTTTACCTAGTAAGCATCGTGATAGCTTGCTAATTGTGTCTCCTCCTTTAGCCTTTTCATGCAGCCTGTCTTTGCAAATAGGAGATACTCCCTTTCATAGAGGTGGCACTGGCACCTACTTTTCCACCTAGACAGCAGCACTAATGGTTCCAAAGCTCTAGACATCAACCTGACTTTGTTTGGTATAAGAAGAGGCCAGCTGTAGGCTAGCCATGCATGGATTTGACAGGCTCATGTCCTTGTGCCTAATGTCCATTCTCTTACATCTTGAAGAGAAGGACAAGGTGCATCAGCTGTTATTTTGGATCACAGAGAACAAATCTAGAGTGTGCAGTCAGCAGGTTAAGACTGAATGTCTTCCTGCGTCAAGCATGTGCTAATGTTCAGGGAGTTGTAATTTGTGAGCATATAAAAGGCAAATGGATAGAAACAGGGTGCAATGTCCTCCTGGTGAAAACTCTGATTAGGAGTGATTTGCTGTACAGTGATGCTTGGTTGAGAAAGTTTTGGTTTCTTCTCTAGCTCTAGATGATTTTTCCCCAGTCATACATCATGGAAAGAAATGCATACTGCGAGTACCGAAAGTACCACTCCTTGCTTGCAGAGTTAAGGCACAAATATAAGCATGTTGCAGTCATCAAATTCCCTAGGTCTGATACAGCCAGTGTGTGCTGCAATGGCAGAATGCTACCTGGTCATTTTTCTGCAGGCAAATCTCTGTGATATGAAGTTTTTGCTAGAAATTTGTAATATATGGTCAAACACTTAGCTGAAACCAACCCTCTTTCAAATACCTACTTTTACATTTGTGTTGGTCTCCTCTGTATTTGGTAAATGATGAATGTCCATGAAATTGTCAGCTCTAGATGACACAGAAGCTGGCTCGGTGGCAGTACTAATGCCCATTTGGTGGGTATCCTGGGGTGATACTGATTCTGTAATGGCTGCAAAGGTAGCAGATCTAGAATATGCTTGAAAAAAATTAGCAAGTAGAGCAATTCTACAGCAAATACTTTCAGCATACCTCCATTGTTACTTTAAGCCAAACAGTGCGAACATCACCAGAGTGTTGTAATTATATCAGAACCAACTTTTCCAAGGGGTAAGTAGCTCAGGGTGAGAATTATCCTTAAAAGAAATCCAATTCCATTAGGATAAGAAATGCAAAAATAAGGCACAGTCTTAACTGTGCCCTGTTTAACCAAGATAAATGTGGAACAGTACAACCTTTATGTGTCTTTAAAATTCAGTTTAATCTAATCAAGGACCATAAACCCTAAAATGCCTTAATCACACTTACTTTGTTATTGCACAGAACATCTTGCTTCCTTTTTCAACAACAGAAGTCTTGTAAATGTTACAGTGAGCATTAAATAGTGTCTGATTTCTGTAGCTTTCTGTTGGCTAATAAACACTAGTGAAGCAATATTTGCAGAGCTACCTGCGCACTGCAGGGCCTTTGCATCCTCATAAAAAAAAAATAATAATAATTTGTTCAAACCTTTTTTGAGAAATCCATGCGAACCAGTCTTTAACTTCCACAGCAAAGTTTCCCTGTGATTCTCACCATGTGCTACTGTTCCTAAATCTTTTTCATACAGGGGTCTTAAAGCTTGTTACAAGAGAGTATTGTTAAGAAAACCATCTCATTCCTGATCGCTTATGGCTGTCACAAGGGAAGTTACCTGAGAGTCATATGAGCTAACATAATTTGCAGGAATATACTCCCTTCTGCATGCAAATACAGCCTGCTGTGCTCGTCTCTCATCTTTTGGGAGGGAAATCCCAAGGAAGTTGAAGAAGAACCCCAGAAAAGCTCTGGACCTGATCCCAGCTCTCTTATCTAATCCTGCTTGGTACTAAGCACCTCTGAGCCAGGTAGCTGGAGTGATTTGTTTGCTTATGGTCACACACATCACTTAAGGATCAGACTAGTTGTTGCATTATCAGTGTCACTCTTCAGACGTGTGCATAGCAATTACTGTCATTGAAGTCAGCCAGGCTGATAGGGAGGTGTAAGAGGGAAAAAGGTTGGTGGAGGAATGCCAACCTTCGCTGTGCTTTTTGCCGTACAGACAGGTTGTCATTAGGCTCCTAGAAATTTGCTGCATGAAGTTTTTTAAAAGGCAACCCTCTCATTCCCTGCAGTGGAGTTAAAATATCTTACGGAGACCTGGTATCTAGAACCAGGCAGCTTTCAGCAGTATATTGGAATCTTGGCAACCATGAGTGATATTTTCCGTAATGAGTACTGAGCAAATGTAGGCCTTGTGATGGGGACAGCTAAACCTGTGTTCAGTGATCGCTCAATGTGTTTCATATTCAAGTATTGCAACCCTATGCATGTGGAGGGGTTTTGGTGTAGGGCAGTCACCGAGGGAGCAACGCTAAGCGTGCTGGGTGGGTGGCTGGAGCTGACCATGTCAGGCGGGTCCTGTGGTGGCAAGAACATCATCAGATCTTACCAATGGGGGAGAAGCTGTCTCTGTGTGGGTGACTGCAACAGCAGCATGGGAACTTTCCCTCTTTCAGGCCAGAAATTGTCTCATTATTCAGTTTGGGCAGGAGGTTCTGAGGACTTGGCTTCTCCCTTGTATATCTGTTTCCTGTCCAGGAGGAACAATGAAGAGTCATGCTCCCATAGCTACTCCAGTTTTGGTGGGATGCTCAGCTCCCATGGAAAGACCACAGGGGTTCAGCCACTGGAATGAAAGTGAGAGTGCTCTTTGGCCACTCCTGTACTTAGTTCATTCCCCACTGTCTCCTGGCTGCAGCAGTCTCCAGTGGAGAGGTGGTAACAAGTTCAATCTCCTCTTCCAATGTCTGTCTTTATATTCCCTTATTTTACTGACACTGCTGGACTCACCAAAATAAAATGCAGTCAAGGTGTAGTCCTTTAAGTTCCCATCTTTGACTGTCACAGTTGCAGAGCACCTGATCTGGTAAGCAAGCAAAAGGCATATCTTTATTGTGACAGCAGGACAATGCACGTGGTAA